GGTACATCATGTCACAAATATGTATGTGCATTTGTTTCATGATCTCATTAACGATAGCCAAATGGCGGCCGCTTTAAGGCCGAAAATGCATTGAAATCGCACATTTTCACCATTCCAAACCCGGATCTCAGTTATGCATGGACGGATTTCGTTCAAATTTGGTACTTACATTAAACTTAATAGGACCTTGATGCACGTCATTTTGGGGGGGGGGGGATCAAGTTCGAAATGGCCGACTGGCGGCCATTTTCTTAAAGAATTCAGTTCTGGATCCGTATCCAAGACATGTCTGGATTGATCAAGTTTAAACTTCACACACACATGGTACATCATGTCACAAATAGATATGTGCATTTGTTTCATGATCCGCTTAACAGCTGAATGATGGCCATTTTAAGGCCGAAAATGCATTAAAATCACGTATTTTCACAATTTCGGAACCAGATCTCAGTCATGCATGGATGGATTTTGTTCAGATTTAGTACAACGTGTTGTACATATGCAGGTGCATTTCGGTCATGATCTGCTTTGAATGTATATGTCACTCAAATATGAACGGAACAGGGACGTGTCATTGACAATGACTTGTTTATTTAGATATGGGCTATCCAGGTCTGCCTTCATTGAAGTCTATATTTTGTTTTTATTTATTTAGATATGGGCTATCCAAGTTTGCCTTCATTGAAGTCTATATTTTGTTTTTATTTATTTAGATATGGGCTATCCAGGTCTGCCTTCATTGAAGTCTATATATGTTGACAATAACACAGAACTACATGCCTTGCCATTCAGTCTTTGGATGAAAGAAATCGGAGCCAACTGGTAATAATAAACAAATGTAATTTATACAGCTTGGTCTGACACGTAGAGACAACTGAGTAGAATTTATTTGGGTTGTATTTGTTTGTAGGAAAGTATTAATAACCAGAGAAATTTCAGTAATGATTGGTCATTTTTAAACACACATACTCCACAGCTCAATCACATTGGACCTCTGACAGATTTGTTCATTTCAAGGTGATATCTTAAATGTAAGAATGGAACGTATAGACTTGCAATGAAAAACAAAAGAAAATTCTCAGCACAGAGGATCCCAGAATAGACAGGAGATTGTTGTAGGATTGACGTAGTAGAGATAGAATATATCAAGAATGAAAGAGCGATAATAGCAGATTATCACATACATAACCTGCGTATCTCCATAGTGTGACTTAAGACAGAACTGATCGAAAATGCATATCACATAGTTTGACGTCACATAGTTCTGACAGTATATGCTTCACACGAAGGTTATTGGGAGCTTACGGGTTTATATTATATTGGTTGCGATGAAAATGGTTCATGTTGGCAAGCTCATGTTATTTTATTTGTATTCAGTCCCTCGAAAAAATCTGTTGAAATTAAAAAAAAAATCCAAGCGAATTGAAGCAAATATCACAAATGAGCATATTCACCACGCTGTGTACACGAGACATCTGCATGAAATAGAACATCGTTGCATATTTGGTGTTTGCTATATATGGAGTGACTGGCATACACATACTTCTCAATAGAGGAGAGGAATGCAAGACTGGATCAGCTCAAATGATTTCATCTCTCCCCTGTCCCCCCCCCTCAAAAAAATATCAGCATGGAGAGAATGTATTACCCTTAAAGTTTATTTTTAATTGAGCATGTATGATACGTCAACATCAATCTAAAACATTGGATGTTTAGACTGGTTGTCACCTGAGAATACTGAATGACCCTGTGTACTGATGTGTAGTTCATGATTTCAATGTTTTTCTCCTTAGCTGTGGAAGTAGTGACATACATCAGTCATCTAGTGATGGATTACTCACAGAGGTAGACGGGTACTGTGCATTATTGCCACCAGAAATTAAGAAATGTTACACTTTACAAGATTCCTACAAGTTTAATATGCCGACTTTACTAGATTGCTGCTTGAAAGCAGTTTACCATTACAGTAATCAAGGTGAGATCCAATCCAGAAACTGTTTAATTTAAATATTTACTTGGACCACCACTACTTTTGGAAGAAATGACTCAATGACAAATATGGCATACTGTAGGGCTTACTAGGGCGCAGTGTTCTGATTGACTCCCGTGTGCGAAGCACAAAAAGGGAGTCTTTGCAGTTAGTGTGTCTGTATGTGTGTGTGTGTGTGTGTGAGTGTGTGTGTGTGTGTGTGTGTGTGTGTGTGTGTGTGTGTGTCCGTCTGTTCCACTGATATCTCAAGAACCATACATCAGTTTTTGATGAAACTTGTTGCATAGATGCTCTGGGCCAATGCGCAGATTTGATTAGGTTTTGGTAAAAATCCATGCATATTAATTACCTAATTTGCATGATAATTAGCTGATTTTTAGCTGTTCCATGGCTGTTCTACTGATATCTAAAGAACCACTTATTGGATTTTGATGAAACTTGGCACACAGATGCTCCAAACTAATGCGCAGATTTGATTAGTTTTGGGTAAAAATCTGTGCAATATTAATTACCTAATTTGCATAATGATTAATCAATTTTCGGCTTTTCCACTGATATCTCAAGTACTAATCATCACATTTCAATAAAACTTGGTACATAGATGTCATAGGACACTGCACAGATCTGATAGTTTTTAGGGTAATATGAGTACATATTAATTAGCTAATTTGCATAATTAATTAATTTTCAGCTTTTGATATTTCAAGTAGTAATCATCACATTTCAATGAACACTTGGTACATAGATGTCATAGGACACTGCACAGACTTGATTGTTTTTAGGGTAATATGAGTACATATTAATTACCTAATTTGCATAATTAATTAATTTTCAGCTTTTGATATATCAAGTAGTTTTCAATGAGACTTGCTACATAGATCTTTTAGAATTATGCAGACACCTGATTAGTTTTAATTGGATATTAATTACCTAATTTGCATAATGTTCCACTGATATATAAAGAACCACAAATTGGATTTTAATGAAACTTTTAAAGAGAACTATGCAGAAACCTAATTAGTTTTTGGTAAATATTTATGCTTATTAATCACCTAATTAACATAATTAATTAACACTGATATCTCAATTACTGATCATCACATTTGAATAAAATTTGGTACATAAATGCTCTAGGACAATAGACAGGCCTGATTAATTTTGATTAATATTAATTCTCTAATTAGCATAATAATTCATAATTTTTTTGTTCTGTTCTGTTCATATTAGTTACCTGATTTACATAATTAGTTTTCAGCTTTTCCATCAATATCTCATGTACAAGTAATTTTGAATTAATTTTAATGTTTCTTCAATACTCTCAGCACACGGAAGTTCTTTCTAAGCTTTCTTTGATTTTTGCTTTTTTCCCACTAATTGAAAAACTTTTTACATATTCGTCTTCTTTTTGAAAACTGCAAGTCTGATTTCTTTAATACTCGGTGTATATGTATAAGGGTGGAACTCTCTTAGATTTGTTCATTTCATGATGATATCTTCGAATTTTGATGAATATCTTATAATTTTTGTATTGACCATGTAGCAATGGACAGTTATTGTCCATTTGATCGAAACTTACCGGTAACAATCATAGAAATGTGCGTAAAATGTACATAAAATTGGACAAGAAAAATTATGGTATCACAATGGTTACATTATACCCTCTGGCTTCTTGTCATGTTTGTATCGTGCAATTTATATAGTTGAATTCACTATGAAGCAATGCCTTTTTATTTATTGATTCTGAGGACGTGAATCGTGCTGTCAATTTCACGATGAATTCTTGCTCTTGCCATTATTGTTATTAGAAATTGTATCAACAATTGCAGAAAGTCTGCTTATTCACTGGAACTTTGATGTGGGCTGCTTGTTTTACTTTGAATAATTTTAAATTTTGTTTTTAATTCAGGGCTCCGTCAAATTGATAAATGGGATCTACCTCAGAATTTGTGTGCATTAGTACGTACGCCAACAGCACACTGCATTGCTCCAAACGGATGTGAGACACCGATATTCACCATTGCATATGTGCGATTGTTAAAATTAGTCTGGGCTCAGCAGTGGCAGAACAATCCAGATGCTATAGTATTTATCGGGATGTGTTGTTCTCGAAAATGTCTGGAGATTTTCACAAGAGTGCCAGTTCCTGTTTAAACCTTTGAACAGGGACAGTCTACACTAAGACTAGGATACCACTACAGTGTCAAACATCTGCATAATTTTCTGTCGGAAATTCTTGGATACTTTCTGTAGTAACCATGCAGCAATGGGCAGTTTTTATCCATTTGGTCAAAAAGAAATCATGGAAACATGCATAAAAAGTGCAAAAAATTGAACCAGGAAAATTATGTTACCAGAATGGTTATGTTATACCCTCATTTTGATAATTGTTGAATTCTCTGAATTAAATTTTTTTATTGAATCTGATTGAACTGATAACCAGTTTCCTTTACATATCATGTGCCCAGCATGGTATAAATCATGCTAATGTAAATTTCACGATGAATTCTTGCTATTGGTATACAACAATTATATCATCAATTGCATATTCACAGTATCTGTGATTCGGACGATGCAAAATATAATAAATTGTCCAATTTTAAATTTTGTTCAAATCATGAATATGCAAGCAAGTGTTATTAACATGTGGATGACGAGAAGTTTACTCCAGTCAAACAGTTAATGTTTTTAATTATTTTTAATATCAGGAACACAATAAATAAATAGAATTTATCCACTTTTATTGGCTACACCACTCTAAATAACTGCCCCATTCAAAGAAAAGCAGAAATTTGGACACGCTAAATTCCAAACATAAACATCCAATCACCTCATTAGAACAGTATCACTTTCTGAGCTGATCACGGGACATTGTTGATATCATCTACATCATTGTATCTGTTGTGCCTGTATTCAGACCCCATGGTACTGAGTTCTAATCCTATCTAGGTCTGAACAACTAAAAAATAGACAATGTTTCTGATAGACTTTATATGTTTGTACCAGCAAAACATGCAACTCAAGGGGGATAACAGTAATGTATTCATGAAACCTGGCAAAACATCTAATCCATATTTTAAAAAAAAATTTGGTTGGTGTTAGATCAGTCCTTTGTTTTTTTATTTTTGTAGTATTAAATTTATCCATCTCAGTCCCTCAAAAATATCTTACTTTCGTGTACATAGGAGGTGCATGATATACTTTTTTTGCCAATATTGAGCATACCCCTTGGCGGCTTTTGTTATCCCCCTACACTTCTAAATATGGTGAATCAATCCATCGTTTGGAATTATAATTGAAACCAGGGAACAAATAATATTAGTTTTACACACAGCAATATACACTAAAAATGCCAGTGTCTAAAAAACTGGTTTGAACTGTAGATATACGACTCTGCTTTTATGGTGATTTACCTCTAAATCAGGCTGGTTTTATTTTGTAGATACTCAAATGGTTTATTCAATTTTTTTTCTTTCTACCATCTATCTTGTGGTTAAATATGCTGAATTCCGATATTGAAATGAAATAATTTTCTGGTAAAATATAAAAACAATTATTGAAGACATGTTCAGAATATTTTTTTAGAGATTGTTGCCCTTCATTATCATGTTATTTTTTTTAAAGTTTTCAGCTTGAACAATTTTATACAAAATCAGGTTATAATTAGTATATGAAGATTCATTTCTGCCAGCTAGTGTTGAGTTACCAGTCTGCTTTTGTTTTTTTATGACACTTGCCACGAAATGGCAGTAATTTGCAAAGTCAGCGCCCTCTATGGCAACATAATGACTCTTGAACCACAAGGAAATGACCAAGAATTCCCTGTGAAGTCAAGTTTAGTGTACACAATGTATATGTGTTGTACGTTCCAGGATTCCTACTGGAACTTTAAGCAGGGAATGTGTACCAAGGTTCCTACTGAAGCTTATCAAATTTATGGCCCATTTGAAAATGAATAAAAATAAATTAGTTAGTCATAAAATCAGTCACATCTAGGCACAATCAAGTGTTGATTGTGAGAATACTATCAGTATTTATAACTGAATCCTAAAATTTCAAAAATTAAGAGTACCTCAGGCCTGAAAAGCTCTGCAGGAACCCTGATTTGCACTAGTTCCCAGCAACACCAGTCCTAGCTATAACTCTAGACATAGATGATGCATAGCCTTCACGCTTTTTTTTTTTGCATTTTCTGCAGATGTCTCCTCGTAGCATGATTTGATCATCAGCTGACAATCACTAGAGCAACAGCATGATATGGAATGGTACGACAGTAAAAACGCAACCAAATACATACATTTTAAGCCAAATTTTACTGTAATATGCAGTAAAACCATACATACAATCCTTGCATCATGAAAAAATTCCATAAAAATATGAATAATATTGTGTAGTACAATTTATCTATACAGTGACAAACCATGAAAAAAACAAAGTTATTCAATACAGAAGGCATAAAAGAAAAGCCAATCAATACAGAACAATCATTACCTAGGTAAAAATGTGGTCTTTGTTTTACGGCAAAGACCTGCTTTGTCAGCTAACAAAATAAACAAATATTTTTTTTTTTCAAGTAAGAATTATTTTGTCTACATTTTATCTGTTACAATAAATAAATAAATAGGTTTATCCATGGATTTCGCGTTTTGTGGGGGACTTTGCATCTCCCGCCAAATCAAGATGAACAAGAGGGAGCAGCCGCCCCTCGACCCCGACAACTAAAAAATATTATAGTATACTAGTTGTTCAGCAGTGGTATAATTCTGTAAGTTGACCATTGTAGTTTGGTTCAGGCATGGTACCAGCATATTGTATACACATACCGTATTTAGATTGTGTGCAACCCGACTTAAAACTAAATCATGCAGATTTAACAGCAAATGCATAGCCTACTTTCACAACAGAATACTCGTTATAAATTAATAAAAAAAATTTAGGCAAAAATCGGTCATGTTATGTAGTGTACTTTTTTTTTCTTTTTCTGTGGCCAGTCGTTGGTAGTTATTAAGTTCTATTGTGGTTTACAATGCAACAGTGCACTGAAGGTTGGCTTTACTGCATAGACAAATACAGTGACGATTGACAGCCTTCAGAGGGGAGGATTATGAGAACATTGACTGATATCATTGAAACAGAAATGAAATCCATGGAAACCTAGCAATCATTGATACAAATCATTTGATAATTTTTTCACTAATGTACAACTATCAAATCTATGGCAGTCGGCAAGCCATCTCCCCAGTCTTCTTTACTAACATTTACGAAGCTGTCCCCTGTGCTACTTTCAAAATCTTATCTGGTTAATTTATGAGGCTAAATTCACTGAAGAAGCGACCATTCCATTAGGAAAGCAAAAAAGAGAGCCCAGCTCCAGAACACCCAGACCCCCTCCAATAAATGGAATGGTCCATCCACTTCAGTCATTAAATAGTGACATATTTAAATAGTCTTAAATTTTAAAATGGTCTCCTCTCCAAAATGTAAGTTTTTGTTTTGCACCATGAATTGTAAGCTTGATGTACTTTTGTTTAATCACACAAAGTCACTAGGTTAATAAAGGTGTACTTTCTGTTTAGTTCATTGGTGGTTTTAACATTCTAAGTAAAGTATTTAAGAAAAAAACATAAATAATCAACTCTAATTCATAAGAAATTAAAAAAAAAAAAATATATATTTTTTTTTAATACTGAGAAGGGTCAGGTTGGAGCACACCATCTGTCCTGGGCTTCTCTGGTCCACAGAAACGAAATCAAACTCAAGATAATTCAATTACTTTTGTATAACAAGTAACACTGAAGTGTACAAATAAACTATACCACTTTTTTTTAAAAAACATTATCAATAACAATAATATTAAACAATAATAAATAACAGGATACAATTCACCAAGTAAAGAAATAACCAACACTTGTTTGCAGACAGTTAGTATGCAAATGAGCCAGTTGCATTGTGGGTAATGCACCACTGAGCCTGAGAAACATTTAGTGTATTTTATCACCCTTCTGCTCACAAAATACTGTACAAAAACGAAGCAATTTGAAACAGAAATACAAGATCACATATAAAATAATATAAATGGTGGTTTTCCAAAAAAGAAAGTGATAATTTTTTGTGTTTATTTTTTATTTTATCTCTCATCCAAAAAAAAACCGAAGAAATGCAGCTGCTGGTCTTTCTAGCTATAACTCTCTGACCTACGGAGTTAGAAGGCAAGTCTCTGAAAATAACAGAAGAACATGGCCGGCCATAATTTAAATATCTCTCTTTCTATATTGCCAGCATCGTATAAGGCCACATAGATGTGTCATTATGTATCAAAACGCTGTGCAAACCTCAGCTAGACAATTCATTATCAAAGAAAACAACAAAAATCAGTTGGACTTTTAGTCCAAAGGTTTAATAGGTAGTAACATAGTTGTAACTATTGATGCAAACAGTTTCTTTAGAATCTGTTTTACATTGTGTTTTATTTCAAACTTAATATATTATTAACTCTAGACGTTACACTATGAAAGTAATGTTCAAATAACTCTTTTCTAACAAATAATCTATATTTAATAAAACACTGTACATCCCAAAAAAAAATTAAAAAAAAATGGCAAACTTAATGTTCTTTCAATCTACCCCAAAATTGTCAATGTGTATATATAACTAAGGAAAGTAACTGAAGGGATGGTAACATAACAAATATGGGCAGAGTTACTAATGTGGTAGGTTCCAACAATGTTTTTAAATTCATTTCAAATTTGCATTTCGTATTGTAAAGGAATAATAATTTTTGTCTTTAATTTCAAGAGTGACTGGTGTTGTTAAAAGCTTCATGTAAATCTAGAAGATCGATAATCTGGCGTGTAGCAGTTAATTTATACTAAGTAGCAAAAAAATAACATTGTTATTTTCTTTCTATTGCTATGTATGACTGTATTCCAAAGAACACTGAACATCACTTTTAATAAAGTATTTTTTTGTCCTTTTTTGATAAAGCTATTAGAAATTTTAATTGTAATATAAGGTGAGGTATCAAGTCATTAACACTCTTCACTATACCGAGGTATCAAGTCAGTACACCCTTCATTATACTGAGGTATCAAGCCAGTTCACCCTTCACTATACCAAGTTATCAGGTCAGTAAACCCTTCACTATACTGAGGTATTAAGTCAGTAAAACCTTCTCTATACTGAGGTATTAAGTCAGTAAACCCTTCACTATACTGAAGTATTAAGTCAGTAAAACCTTCTCTATACTGGGGTATTAAGTCAGTAAAACCTTCTCTATACTGAGGTATTAAGTGAGTAAACTCTTCACTATACTGAGGTATTAAGTCAGTAAACCCTTCACTATACTGAGGTATTTGGTCAGTAAAACCTTCTCTATACTGAAGTATCATCTCAGTATACCCTTCACTACACCCTTCAATATACCAAGATATTGGGTCAGTACACACTGAGGTATTGGGTCAGTATACACTTCATTATACCAAGGTATCAAGTTAGTATGTCTTTCATTATACATAAAGAAAACCTTCAGTATATTGAGGTATCAAGTCAGTATACCTTTTCATTGCAGTCGTGTCATGCACCTTTCAATATTTATTGATGTCAGTATCTCCTTCATTTTACAGAGGTATAAAGTCATCTTTCATTATACCTACACTGTAGGTATCAAGTCAGTACACCCTTCGCTATACAGAGGTATCAGTAATCAGTATATCATTTATTATACTGACATATTGAGTATACTATACCATGATACATGCTTCACTAAATCAAGATATCCAGTACAATGACTTTAATCAATGTGTACATTACACACGACTATAGTACAAGGCTAACATTTTAATGTATTTCTGTAAAGCTGTGTTGTTTCCTTCACAAGGTTCTCTATCCCAATTCTCTCATTTTATGAAAAAAATATTCTAATCTACACCTGAAAAATACACTAACATGACTCGGGTATGAGTACCGGGTAAGGAAACAACCTGCTGGAAAAAAGTATTCTAACCCTAGGCTATTTATATTCATTAAATTTTATGTTGCATCTGATATGATATTGTAACACGTCCTTGTTTACATTGTAAATTTCAAACTACGTTGACCAAGCATTTTCAATTCGTTGTCGCTTTGTAGGAGGCCCATCTTTGTCCCCCATGATGCTTCCTCTATTGCCTGATGACTGGTAATTCGAGTCTCCCCCTCCACGCCCATCTTCTCGATCACTTCCTGCAAACGGTGACGCAGACGCTGAGCTGCAGTGACTATGCCGGCCGGGTGACATAGCTGTATCATGTGGAGTACATCTGCCAGCTGTAGGATTCAATTGGTTTTTATCACGTGGTGGAGAAATCGGCTCACTTTTTATGCCACCCATGCCTCGATCAGTAGTTAGTAAGCCAGGCGTTGAAGATGAAGGTGTACTACTAGTAAATGAAGAAAATAAATTAACTGACACATCTGAAAAACTTTGGGTTGTTCTCAGCATTACATGTATAAGACAATGTATAAGTACTTATGCTACACCATATCACCTTCCACAGTCAACGAAAGTTGGTAGTGAATTAAAAATAGTTTGCTTTTAATTTTATGAGACCAAAATTACCATAATTAAATTATTACAAAACTCAAGTCTCACTACCGTCTCCCGTAAAAAAAACAAATAGAAAACAAAAGACTAAAACATACTACTCAGCTTCATAGCAATGCCTCCTTCCAATACCAAACAAGAATGCATGAAAACAAATAAACTAAAATTGTACACTATGCCATCCATATAAGGGCAGCACACAAACATAACACAAACATATGACAAGTGGGGAAGAGTTCTTTTTGTAACCCCTACCACCTCTAACCCAAACTTTAACCCTTAACTCCCAGCCCCCCAATTCAATTGTATATGCCCCTCTAGATAACTTTATGTGTCTTTAGGAGGGGCATATATAATTCAATATAATTCAATTGGAGAGATCTAGAGGGTGTGGGGTAGGGTTAGGGATTGGGGGTACAAAAAGAACTCTTTCTGTGGGGAAATGGAAAATTACATTTAGGACTGAACTCAATTGAATAAGACAATCAACAATTCAAATGTATCATGTTTTCAGATACTAAACAGGACAACATTAGATGGAAAGTGACAAATCTTGACTGGTGGAGAAGGGTTTAACAACAGATTAGGTGGGGCCTTTACAACGCAAGTAAGCAACTTACCCAGTTATCCCTGCTGCCTGTACTGCTGCTGAAAGAGGATGCTGATGTTGCCATGCCGATACCGCACTGAGTGGTAACGTTCCAGGTGAATTGAAATTTGATAACTGAGACAAATCTGCAGTGTTCAGTGCAAAGTCACCTGGGTGGAAAGAAATTAACATTAGCTCTTTATGACACTTTCATACACAATTACAGCAAATTCAAGATGGCTGCCAAAAAGGGAGTAACGGTAATGCTATGTCATTGCTTTCATGGGAACAAATTCAAGTACCCCCACTTTTTTTGGCTAAATGATATTTACTTGTCACACAGGAAAAATATAATGAATAATTTTCTAGCAATGACTTGATTCTACCTACAGGTTTCAGTGTTCTCCACAAATAAAATTTAAAGAGGGGGGCTAATGTGCATATAATTAGCATATTTAATTTGCATATAATTAGCATACTAATCAAACATTTCAAAGGAAATTCTTAGCACTTTTATATTTACATCAATTAAATACTGTGTACAAGTACTATATTAATGTTCTTGAATTATTTTGATGAATAAGTTAAACCACTTGATGTGTAAAAAAAATATATACTTTGACAAATGAAGAATATCAATTTTATTCTTTGTAAAAGTGTAATGGAACAAGTTGTGAAATTCTAGCCTTTCATTTATTTCTTTTAAATTTCTTTCAAATATTTCCATAGGTTTTATAAATGCACTGAGATATTGTAATAGTTGAAAACCCCAAGTAATAAGAAAAATATTTTCACATAACAAATTTACCATTTAAAAGAAAAAGAAATCAAAGAAAGCTTAGAAAGAACTCCCATGTGCTGAGAGTATTGGAGACACATTAAATATAATTCGAAATTACTTAGCTGAAAACTAATTATGCAAATCAGAAAATTAATATGACCAGATTTGAGTGTAAAACTAATGAGGTCTGCGCAATGTAACAGAAAATCTATGTCTCCAAGTTTAATTGAAATGTGATTAGAACCAAAAAATTATGAATTATTATGCTTATTAGGGAATTAATATGAACAGATTTTTACCCCAAACTAATTAGGTTTGTACATTGTCCTAGAGCATCTTTGTACTAAGTTTCATTGAAATGGAATAATTAGTACCGTGAAAACTCCAAAATTTCGACCCCTCTAAAAATTCGATTGGCTATTTATTTGCCGGGTTTCGGTGTTTTATTTACCTCCAAATTTTCGACTCCACTAAAAATTGCCGACTCATTCTTATTCGAAATTGCGACCAG